TGTGTGTGTGTGTGTGTGTGTGTGTGTGTGTGTGTTGTGAATGAGCTCTGCACTTATTAATCACATCACTTTTCCTGCTATCGCCGCTTCAGGCAGAAACATGAGGAGAAGGGAGAGATGGCAAGACTGAAGGAATGAATTTTGGATTGATGGATTGACTAGAATTTAGCAAGAATTTAGAAGGAAAGAAAGGGGGGAGCAAAAAATACAAATTAAGAGAGAGAGAGAGAAAATTTACAAAAAGGAAGAATTTAGAAAAAATTTGAGAGAATTTAGATTTTAAAAAAATTTAAAGAATTTAAAAAGCATTTAGAAAGGAAAGAAGCAGGAATTTAGAAAAAGATTTTGAAAAAAGAACATTTAGTAAGAATGAGAATTTAAAAAAGGGAAAAGCAAGAATTTAAGAATTTGAAAACAAATTTAGAGAATTACAACAAGAATGTAGAAAGAAAAAAAAAAGAAAAACAATCAGAAAAAGAAAAAAAAATGTAGAAAGATTTTTAAAAGATTTAGAAAGAAAGAATGAGAATTTAGAAAGAGAATGAAAGACTTTAGAATTCATTTTGGAATTTATGAAAGAAGGGAATTTAAAAAGAATGAAAGAAAGGGAGGGAGGGGAGAAGTAAGGAGCGAATCAAGGAAGGGAAGAATAAATATAAAGAAGGAATTGAGAAGTAAATCACGGAAGCAGAAATGAAAGGAAATGATGGAATGAAGGACAAAAAGAGAGGCACTGAGGTAGACATGTATACTCATGAAACTGTTTCTTCCCTCCATATGTGTGGGGAAGATAAACAGAGCAGGTAAACAGTACACTAAAGCATTCTGGGAATGCACCTTTTCAGGAAAATGAAAATACCTTTGCACACAATACGTGTTATTTTTAGAGTTCTATTAGCTATGTTTGATAATCATATTCTGCTGCAGACTCTGCAGAAAAAAATGTGTAGACTAGATTGACAGTGTGTTGAATGACTGTTTTAATGGTGTTGGATGTTTCACTAATAGCTGCAGTGATTAAACATGAGTCGCTCAGAGGTCGTGATCCATCACTTAATGTGAACAACACACACACACACAACTGCGATACAGAAAATAATGACCAACTCTTTGTATTAGGCCACAGACATTGATATTGCATCACCTGACCTCAAGTGACCTTTGACAGCCCGACACACTCACTGTCTCCCCTTGCTGGCTGTGACTGTACTGGAGATGAAACTCCTCAGTGATTCCTGTCTTTGTCTCTCTGTCTCTCTGTCTCTCAGTCTCTATCAGCTGTAGCAGGTCTAAGCGCAATCCTCAAGAGGCTCTACAGTTGCTGTCTTCAGCTCGACTCAGTTTGAAGAGCCTGGTCACCAAAGCCAAAGTGAGTTTCATACACACTCAGCTTTTAAAGTCTTTAGCTTTACGTGACGTGACGTGAGGCTAAAACCTTTAAGGGTTTTGCTAAAGTTTTTTTGAAAGCTATCAATAAAAACAGGCCTCTTTTGGCCATTTCTGGCTATTTAATGCTGTTACACATTTAAGTCAATATAGAAGTGTTCACAACTCATTTTACTTTCATAATGTGACAAATCCAACAAAACAGGATAATTAATAAGAACATTTAGAATGGAAAAAAAAATATTTTATAAAATACTGTTCAAAAATTTTTAGTATTTTTATTTATCATTTTATTAAGTTAATACATGTATTCAGAAAGGGCACATTAAATTGATCAAAGGTGACAGTAAAGACATTTATAATGTAAAATAAATTCAATTTCAAATAAATTGTTCTTTTTATATAGTCCTGAAAAACTATATTATGGTTTTCACAAAAATATTAAGCAGCACAATGGTTTTCAACATCAATAATAATAAGATATTAGAAACAAATCAGCATATTGGAATGATTTCTGAAACAGAACACTGGAGTAACCGGAGCTTTACCATCACAGAAATAAATTACATTATAAAATATATTCAAATAGAAAAGGTTATTTTTAATAATATTTCACAATATCACAGATTTACTGTATTTTGATCAAATAAATGCAGCCATGGTGTGAATAAGAGACTTCTTTCAGAAACATCAAAAAAATCTTATTGAACCTAAACTTTTGAACGAAAGTGTATATCAGAAATTGATTGAATAAAATGTTCCTTTTAAATGACAATTCATCAATTTTGATTTCATGTTATCTTTAAATGTATTGTAATGTTAAGTTTATTTTTTGTAATTTTTTTTATATATAATTTTGAATTCGATTTTTTTTTTTTTTTGTAATTATCTTTTTGTCAGCTGTCATTTATAAGTCTCACATTTTTTGTTTTGTTTTCTCTTCACAGCAACTGTACACTGATGTTGCCACAGGTGAACTCCATGATGACCTCAGAGGAGATGTCACCGAGCTCCAGCAGCTCATCACAGAGCTGCAGGACCTGAGTGCCCAGCTACGCAGCCAATGAGAAGCCATAGCTCTGTTCTTCTTCCCTTTGATCCTGGAGGGCTTAGGTCTTCTGTCGCTTGTTAAATCAAC